TTGTTCTTTGCAGACTGCTGGTGAAGCCAGGAGACTTCCCCAGTTGCCCAGCGTGCTGATTTGCTTATTTGCCTTTAATAAATTCTTAAATATTTTCAAATTCAAATTCTCAAGTCTATTTGACTATTACACAGGCAATGTTGGGGAACTCCCAGCTCGTACTGGACAAAGAGTTCCAAAGCAATCAGTGAAAAGTCAGACTATCTATACAATTTTTGAGAGAGATTACATCATCTTTACATGCATATTCATATTATTGCAACATCTAGTTATGATATTCATAGCAGGCAGAGTTTGGGCAGAGTCCGGGGCGGGGTCATCATTTTGGGGAGAATCTTGGTGGTACTTCCTGTTACTTCAGCTTTGGGGGTCGTCATTTTGCTCCTGTCCCTCAGGTGAACTTTTGAACTTTCTTTAATTCTGCTGACTCCAACATGTATTTGGCAGAACTTTCTGATATTTGGCAGGAATTTCTGATATTTGGCAGGAGTTTCTGGACCCTGGTCCTTCTCTTTCTCCTTATCTCTCTCTGTGTTCCTTCCATATGTCCTTTTATATGTATGTTAGCATTTTTAGTGCTCTTTGTTTTCCTGTGCTCTTACTTTATGTTCTCTCGTGTCACTGTGTCTGCATTCTTTGGTAAAATATTATCTTCCATTAGTCCTTGAATCTTGGCTCTTTGTTTCTTCGCTCAGAGCATGCATTCAGAGTTAACTCTTCAGGCCTTGTTCTGTTTCAATACTTTTAGGAGAAAGGTTGGATGTGTAATTCGTATTCCAATTCCAGGTGGAATGTGTGCACAACAAGGAATAGAGAGGGTGGCCATCTGACTAAAACCCAGGCCTTATGACAATTAAAGAGCCTAGGAGACTTGATATTTGCATTTGGAGGAGGAAGTAGGTTGAGTAAAGGAAACAGACTGCCAGACACTTTCAGAAATACCTTTGGTACTGGCATGCAAGAAGACTCCTTTAAAAATAACCCAAACGCCTTACTTTCTGGTCAGGACCCTGGCATTCACCAGGAAGAATATAAAGTTCCTGATGTTCTTTGAGGGCTGAAATTTGGGATTGTATCTTGTGCAAGATACCCATCTGTATCTGCTAGGAAAGTCATCAATATACTGTGGTGAAAGACATCAGGAGTGGGAGAAATTTCAGCTAATATTGCTCATGTTATCTCAGTATCAATGGTAGGACTGTAGCCACAGCCTTGAGGTAAATGGGTAGAGGTATAAGGAATGCCATTCCAAGTACAATCAAAGTGATCTTGGTAGTCCTAGTTGGTGGGACACTGGAAGAATGTCTTCAATGTCCAAACCATCTATGCATAGATAAGAGGAAAGGTAATTGGTATTGATTACTTTGGCAGCTCTTGAGACTGCAGTATGAGGTGGAGAGGAGGGAGAATTTATGCCTTGGTAGCTGTGATGAGCAGAGTGGAAGCTTTTGACAAGGTTTATCATGATGATCCTCCTGTTGAGTCAGAGGGTGCAGAAAATGCCCCCTTCATTTCTAAATTCCTTCTCAGAGAGGAGTCTGGGTGTGGCTGGATCTAGTTCCAGCCCCAGACTTAGTCAAAGGTTTATGTCTAAAAAATTATACAGTGTAATTGTAACTTTATACAACTTCCTCCCACAGGCTCAGGGAAGGCAAACCAATATGGAAAAATTGTTCTTTTTTTTTTTTTTTTATGGTGATGTCAAGAACTGATAAAAGGTAAAAAGTTTTTTGTCATTGCCTCAGGCATGAAACCAAAAAGCCTTTACTGAAAAACTGCAAAAGCTGAGCTGCTTTAATTAAAGACTGCAAAAAGGCGAGCTACTTTAAAGACTGCAAGAAGCAAGCTAGAGGAGGCAAGTTGCTTTAGTTGAAAACCTGCTGGAGGCAGGTTGCTGTAATCAAAAAGTAGGTGTTTTAATTGAAACAGCTAAAAATTAGGTATTTTTATCAAGAAATCCGTGCTGTTAATAAACAATTGTTACAAAAAAGTTACCTTAAACAAAAAGTGTCCAATGCAGTCAGAGAAATGCTACATGGCAAGGACTCACCCTCCCAAATGAGGTATTTACTGGGAAACCAGCCAATGGGCATTCAGAGGCTACCTGTTCTTTAATTAAAATATGTTGCTCATGTTTCTGTTGAATTTCGTACAAGATATGAGGACACTTTAGCAGTGCCTAATGTGGCACGGAGGGCAGCTGCTGCCACTTTGCCTTCTGGTTTGCTTTCTGTCGAAGACTACAGGACAAGAAATCATAAAAGAGGACCAGAGAAGACGACTGTGAGGAGACCAAGGACTGACTCTGCAAGCCAGCGCAGAGCCCATGGTGGTGGTAACTCCTTTTCTGTGCTTCTAGAAGTTGCTCTTGGCTTTTTCCTACTTTTCTATTTTCCTTCTTTTCCTCTGCTCTTTTTGTGTCAGAAAAGAAAGTTGAATTATTGTTTTGGAATCCAATATTTGGCCTTGTTTGTACCTTAATCTCATTTGTGGGAATGTTTAGAACCTAGTTCCTCTCCACATTCGTGGACTAAGGCAAACCTTGCCTCTCTACATCTAAACAGATTGAACAGGTGATAATACTGATGATATTGATGATAATACTGGTTAGATTAAAGGACTTACTCAGAATTAGTTACTACACAGTCTAGATAGGTAACTGTAATTACAGTGCATTATATATTGAAGCAACAATAATAAAGCTAGCAAAATGATTGAGCAGAGATTGATATTGCTCAGTCATATGCCTGTGGGCATAACTGTTTCGCTCAGCCTCGAGGAGTAAACTTGGAGGTGTCCCCAAGGGAGGAATCTCCATACACAGTCCTAGAAAGGGGTATATGAGAAGTGTTGGAAGCATAAAACAGTGAAGAAAATGCAAAGCTCAATATGTGATGGGGCCCATGATGATCATGGAAGCCAGATGGAGGTCAGGTTGTGTTGCCATGGCGTCGGGGAGGAATGTGAAGTGGGATACAAGCTGTGTGGTCTCATTCTTCTCCTTGATACCCAGAGGTGTTGTGTACAAACCAAGTGCACCTTCTACCAAGAAATATTCCATACAACACAACCACAAAGAACAGAAGTTTCGACTACAGTCCCACTGATAGCACTTTGCACAATAATGGTTGATAAGGTATAAAAGGACCCTGATTTTGTACCTGACTGGGAGATGAGAATTCAACACAAAAATGGTAGGGACAGGTCGGCAGGTTTGTCTTCCTTGCCCTCCCCAGAAGGAGATCTCACCACCATGGAGAACTAAATCTACAAGCCAGTGCTTAGCCCATGGTGGTGGTAACCTGTCCTAGTTAGAACAGCTGGGACCAGTTCATCACTGGATGGCTGTAACCCAAAACTGTGTATTCTATAGCCTTCCATGCCATTTTCCAGAAACTGTTGTCAGTAGACTATTTGCACCCTCTGCCCAGAGCAGCCTGACTCCTCAGGCTCTAAACTAGTTGTTAAGAGGCCTGTGAGATAGGAGGGTGCTTCTGTCCTCACACCCTTTGTGGAACTCCTCGCCCTGAACTGGAGAATATATAATCTTGGAGTCTTGGAACATTTTCAACCACTCGTGGGATCCAGAGGAAGACTGCAGACCACCACTCTCAACCAGACTGAGACCACCACTCTTGAGTGGACTGCAACCACCACTCTTCAACCAGACTGAGACCATCACTCTCGGCCGGACTGCAATCGCCACTCTTGACCAGACTGCAACAGCACTCTCACCAACAGGTTTTTCCCCTCTCCCTTTACTTTGGACTCAGGGGGCCCAAAGAACACCACTCTGTTCATGCCCCAGGGTGCTGGGTTATACATTTGGGTTTTGTGGGTTAAAACCAATTGTTTGTCTGTATAATCGTACTTATTGTATTATTTTATTAAATTGTTATTCTGATTTATAATCTCTGTTTTGAGTTGAGTTCATTTCCCCTTCTGGTTTACCTTTTCTGTGCTTCTAGTAATTTCTCTTGGCTTTTCCTACTTTTATGTTTTCCTTATTTCCTTCCTCTCCTCTCCTTTTGTTTTAGAAAATAAAGTTGACTTATTTTGGAATCTTTACATCTGGCCTCGTTTGTGTCTTAATCTCGCTTTCAGGTATGCTCAAACTTAATTGCTTTCCACAGGATCAAGGGAAACTTCACCTCTCCATACCTAACAGGTGTATTATTCCTTCTTCCCTGGAATGAACAGCCATAACAGTTGGACTTGCTGGTCTTTATATAGGTGGCCCGAATTCCTCTCAAATCTCTATGTGGTGTCTCCACAGAGAGATTTAGGGACATTAAATAAGACACAGTCCAGAGACATGCCTAAAACTATCTGATGGAGAAGTCTAGGGGGGTAAGGATTTTAGTCAGGTAGATTTGTTAAAGATCTTTGGTGTTACTTCTATGTTCAGTGAGGATGTCTTCATTCCTTTTTATGTGCTGTCCATCAAAAATTGACAGTTCATTGTGTAGTCGTGGCTGATGATTTCTGAGGCTTGTGATTAAGGTGAGAAGGTAGCAGCTGAATGAGTGAAGCAGGCATGTGTGAGCAGTAGTCTTCTTGTTATCTTTCCGAGTCTTGTGCTGACACTGAACTTCTCAAATGTTCTTCCTAAGACAAGTGCTCTCTGCCAAATATCGCTTTTTAAAGTAGCGTGTTTCATTGTATTAAAGCTTTTATAAGCTTTATTAAAGAATTTTTAAGGTTGTGATGAGAATTGCAAACTTAATTTTCGTAATCCAGCTAATAATGATGATTGACAAACCAAGGTTTTAGTCATTTTTATTGTTTTGATAATGACAATAATTGGCTTTTACTCTTGGTGGAGTTGTGTGTTGCATATAGTCAAAGTTCTTCCTCTAGCAAGGATTTTACATTTACTACTGGTTGTCATCCTAGTCTTGTTTGCCTCTTACTCATGTTTCTAGAAAACGTGTCTTAAATTTCTTCAACAGTTATCTAATTCAAGGACATGGTTGTTTTATTCTCTGATCATTTTTCAGGAAATACCCTGTGTAACAGTAGCAGTCTGACATCTTTACGTTGGATGCAGAAGCCTGTTGTCTCATCTAAGATTCCTGCATCACTGTAAGTATTGCCTTAACACTGCTGTTGCTGTTTTTTGCTGATTTCATATGCAACCTTGTTTTCTGGTTTTCTTTTGTTATTGGTGTCCTATGAGAGCAGAGGAGGTAAAAGGTAGATTGAAGAAAGATAGAGCTATCTTTGAATCTTGAAAATGACACCTGGAAAATTGTAACACTGAGTCTTATTTTTTATAGGCTAGATGTAAGTGAAACTTCTTATTTCCAAGCTTGAAATCAGAAGAGTGTTAAAATCTAAAAGAGGCCATGAAGGAAAGTCAGGAGCCTTGGGTGATCTGGGAGAAGTGGCATGAAGCATTTTGTTGAGAAACTAATACCTTGCACAAAGTAAGGTGTTTATTATGTCCTAGCTGGATTTGACCATACTGAGAGGAACTTGTTGAGATGCAGGCTGCATTCATGCTTGTAGGTTGTCATTTTGAAGACTGAAATAAAGTTTGGCTTTGAAGCCATTGTCTCTGACAACTTTACAGAGTAACGTGCTCACACAGTTGGGCTTGTTGGTAATACATGTACATTCTGCAATATAACACATGGAGACATAGAGATACGTGACTTTGTGTTTTGCCAACTGAGAACGAGGGTCAGCACAAGACACACAGACACCAACTCTGAGGAACAAGTGTGTAAATTTACTATAGTGCAAAACAGCAAAGAATTACAAAAGGATAAGGCCAGTAATGCACCTAATCATTATTACAAAGAGTGCCTATAGTGATTAGGAAGGATACATCACCAGTTACCCTAATACGTTACCACTGTCCAGATCCGCACGTCAGCTGGGGAGTCCCGGTCACAGCAAGGGACTGAAGAACCATTCCCAGTAACTGGGAAATCCTACGCAGTGTGTCCACTCATAGGTGAGGTCTCCATCTTCGCTGTGAGAGAGTCCAGCTTTTATACTGTTGAAAAAACAAGCTTACATAACTACTCGTGTGGAAAAACATCTGTTTTCCTTCTCTTTCTGGGTTCCACCCAAAGCCTGGCCTAGGGCTCAAGGGGAAAACCAGTGGAGTCAACCTTGACCATCTACTGCTAAACAAGGCCAGGCATCTACTTCCATGTCCTTGACCAGTCTCTGAATACGGAAAGAGAAGTGTCATATTTTGCTAACAATCATACATATTTCATTAATAAACAGATACAAATATTTTTTAGTAATGAGCAGATACTCATATATCTTACTAAAAAGCACATTTATTTTTTTAATGAGCAAATACACAGGTGTAATCTTATCATACTATGTATTTCACTAACAATTATATGTAGTTTTAGCCAATGAGTAGATACACAGATTAGGGGGATCTGTGTGTTTACTCTGGCTAAAACTGCGAAGCCCAGCCATAATGAGATACACAGATAAGTATAATGTTAGTTGGAAGGTTCATGTAGAGGTCAACTTTGGCTCAGGGCCTGTTGTTCAGGCCTCAGTACTTCACTTTGTCACCTCCTGAAGGTGTGTGTACTGCAATAGTAGAAGTGATGATGTCATCTCCATGCTTCATGCCTTCTCCCAGCTGTGTAAGTTAATGCTGCAGTGTTAGAATTATGAGAGCTTTCCTTACAGCTCACTAGAGGCAGAGTTATATTCCTCAAAATTAAAATAAAACTAGTGGGCCACATTTTTGTGAGAGGTTTTTACTAAACCCAGGTTCATTTTTTCATTTTTTTTCTGTTGTATTTGAAGGTATAACTGAAATCAGGTCTTCTCATCTGAAAACTCGGGCCTGTATTTTATTCTGCTGGTGTTTCTCATGCTCAGCTCTTAAGCATTGCTCATTGTGCCCTGTTGTACCAATACCTTGAGGGTTTTTTCCATTGTTTTTGGATGAGAAGGTAAATATAGCCATCTATTATTAAATTAAAAAGTTGAATGATAATAGAATTTGCAGGATAATGTGAGGATTTTGTTAGTCATTAGATAGTCAATAGGGTTGTTAGTTGCTGCTCTTTTTGTACCTTAACAGCGTTCTGGGAAATAATTTATGCGACTTGGACATTGACAGCACTGATGTCCATGGGATGTGCCAGTGGGGTTGCTCTCCTACCTAGCAATTTAAGTTCAACAGTTCCGTTCATAATGCATTCTGAATCACTTCTTAGTAAGTGAAATAGGTTTTGATCAAAAGATTAAGATTGTAATATTTTTAAGCATTTTTTTTTAGCATTTTGGGTTTACCTGAAGAAAAAGAAATCAAGAGAAGATGGACTGGAATGGAGGACCAGTCCAGAATGCTAATGCAAATATGAACCTTCAAAGTGAAGGAGCTTATCACACTCAGTTGCTTTCTAATGGACATGCCTTTCCTCAGACAAATGCCAGCTCCTCTACAAATGCGTGCACTTATGCTGAAAGTAACCAGTTTGTGTATCTGCCAGCTGTCAAGGTTGCCTTCCCTTTAGTGAATACTGAAGGATTCAAAACTTCTGATCAGACCTTACCAGGAGCATCTGTGACTGGTAATAATTTTTTTATGTCAAAATACTCAGTTAAACAACATCAACAGATGTATGTACCAGCTCAGAAACCTCCCATTCAGCAGTCACCTTCTCAGGCAGAGATGGTTCAGACTTCTTGGCCAGTCTCTAATGCCTACAGTTATTCCTGTAGAAATGTACCTCCCCTGTCTTCTCAAATGAATGCTGGAAATAGTGTGAGGAGTGTACATCAGGGACCTCAGTATGCTGCTACAAACACTTACACTGCGCAGCCACAAATACTGCAGCAAAATTCTGTGAGATTTGCAGCATTATATCAAAGTAGCACTCATTCCCAGAATAATTCTATGTCTTTTGGTACATCCGGACAACAAATCCAAACCCATATATTTCAGTCCAATACTCAGTGCAAAGGTTCATACTCAGTGAATCAAAATACTGAAACAAATGTACAGCTCCCACAATTTCAGCCAAGTCAGATGGAATCACAAGCTCCTAGAGGATGTTCTGCACCATCTTTGTTGCCTGCCAACTGTGTTTCAAGAGCTGCTGCGCAATCTTCAATAGGTGTACCACAGGAAGTACAAAACATATCTAATGGATACACCCTTAGCCAACAGAGGAGCCCACTGGGTCAAAAAAATTCTTCTGGTTTTAACAGCATTCAGCAACACTGTCAGAGGCAGCAATGTGGAGAAGTCAGTCAATCAGTTAAGAATTTCTGTAGTTCAAATGGAAGTGTGACAGCAAATGGTTCTTTTAATGAAATGACTGTGCCGTCCTCTGGCATTCCCGAAAACCTGTTTGATATTGTGAAAGAATTAGAAGCTCTTTCTTCAAAGCCACCGAGTGATCCTCCTTCAGTTCAAGAAAGCCAGACCAGTAATTTAATGAATGGACCTGTTAGTTCTCAACTTTATTCATCATCAGCAGATGAAAGAAAAATTGTAAAGGACAGACCAGCTTGGGACGCTGAGAAGCTGTACCGTATTAAAAAAAACTGGCCCCTGCTTGAAAGGCTTTTTAAAAGAAAATTATTAGCAGCTTCAAAGCATGACAGAAGCACTCCCCCTCCTCCCTACGGTTATCAGTGTACTCCTGCTAATTGTCTTCCATGGGTGCCCAAACAAAATGTACCACCTTCCTCAGCTCAAACAATGATGACAGAGAGTCAAACACTTAAGATTTCACATGAAGAAAGAAAGGACAAAAATCTAGCCAACGCTGACAACAGAAGATTAGAGGGGACTCAAAGTAACCCGCAGGTGGTGCAGGGAAGCCTTCCATCAAGCTTAGCTCCTATTCCCTCTCAGAGCAAACTCCCAGCTCCGTTAAATAATCCTGAGAACACTCCCACTGTGGAACAACAGGATGTTCATGCCTTGGCCTCTTCTCAAGAAACTGCAGTTTCCTTGAACAATGCTTCATGTTTTAGTCAAGCGGGTAGCTCTGTCAAAATTGCATCAAAGAGTGTGCAAATTAACCCCGAGAACTCATCGTTTCTTCAGTTTGTATTAAGTAGCACAAATGCATTGAAAGAGAAGACAGCTGGTGCTACTGCTGATAAAATACTGACTAGTCTCCTGTGTAATGACAAACAAATGGTAGATACATCTGTCTCAGGTGGAAGCTTGCAAAAAGACACTAGTGAGAGGAACGTAGAAAGATTGAAAGGTGAGCAGGCATCTGTGGTTCACACAAACTCTCCTGTATCGGAAATAACTAAATCTGGTGAAGCTAAATTCCAGAATGAGGTAGCTCAGAAAAAAATGCCATTTACTGAAAATACCTCCTGTAAACAGATCAATTGTACTTACACTATGGAAGAGCTAACTGCATGTCTGAGCTTGTGGCGGAAGCATTCATCAGAATCTGTAAATGTGCAAAAAAACCAGTCAAGCGAAAGCCCCACAGCAAATCAGATTTCACCCTCCAGCCAAAACACAAAAAAGAGAGAACAAAATAATGTTCTGGTTAGTATGGATGAAGCAGTGTTGCCTATAACAACTACGTCTGTAGGACAAAAACTTGATACACTGACTTCCAGTTTGATCAAAAATTTTGAACCTCAGGTTGCAGTTGTCTCTCCTTTAGTACTTTCTGAACAGAGAACACAGAGTGAGCAAGCACACAAAATCCCAGCATCTGAAGATAAAACCTATCCAGTGATTGATTTGGAGAGCACATGTAGCTTGCAAGAAGCAGGGGAAAATGGTTTAAATGTGGCAAATACTGACAAAGGAGCAATAGAAAATGCTTGGTCATCACCCAGTGATTGTATTCTGGAACAGCAAGTGGACTCGCATTTGCAACAGATCAAATTAGGTGATGAAAACAGAAGAGTAAAAACCAGTGTGAATGGAAATGATTCATATAATGAAAACCAAAGGAAGGTTAGTCAATCTGCGCAAGATACCAGAGAAAATCTGCAAAACAAGATTTCTTTTCCTGAATCGGGCATAAATTTTTCTAGTCAAATATCCCAAGAAGGTGTAGGAGATCATAAAGACAAGCAAACTATGTTAGAGACAGGAGATACATCCACAGCTGTGTTGGAAGATCAGATGTTTCGTATTTCTAGTGTATGTTCTCTTGTAGAAGGTGATAAATTTTATGATCCACAAATAGCAGGCATCTTCAGGTCAGTGTATGAGACACATACATCAGAAGGAAAAGGATCTGATGCAAGGGAAAAGGAACAACGTCCGGACTTGCATAAAAATGGGCTGAGCAATAACACTCCCCAGAAAGAGAGCTTGCTGCTAAAGATGTTGGGAGAATCATCAAGCTGCATGAGTAAAGCGGATAAGATTTTGCATGGTAGCACAATGAGTCATTTAGAGAAAGAAAGCAGTGGCAATCCTCTTAAAGTAGTTTCTACCTCAGAACAAAACGTGTCATCTTTCAAGCATCCTGAAAATTGCTTAGAAAATCTTGCTAATATAAACCAGAAGTTAGCTCAACATTCACTAAGTTCTTCTATCAGCATAACTGCTGAAACAAATGCATCCACTGTCCCAGGAGACCACAGTAAACAAAATGCCATACCCACTAAAAATAGCACAGAGGAAGAAATAAACTCTTTTGGAGGAAAACTTTGTAAATACCTAAAAAATCAGCTGTCTGAACTAGTGAAAGAGTTTCCATATGGCCTTCAAAGTGCTGATATGCTAAGAAAAGAACCAGCACAAAGTCATTCTGTGGCTGAAGGGATGGAGAATCAACCTCAAAGAAAGATTAAAATTTGTGACAAGAATTCTAATTTGAAAGACCCAGTAAATCAGATAAAAATTGCAGTGTTAAGCTCTGATCAGGTTCAAGAGCTGTTTCCTGAACACAAACAGTGTCCCTCTAGTGACAAGAAAGCAGTGAGTCAACAGTCAGAAAAGGCTTCAGCTGAGGAGAACCCTGAAGGCAGTGTTCTGCCTAGTCAGAGTCTGTGTAAGAAGGAAAAAAAACCACAAGAAAATTCCAACTCCAGTGAAAAAAATGAAGATTGTTCATTAACGGGTTGTGTATCTGTAGGATGTAAAATGCCACACTGTCCCAGTAAATCAGAAACATCTGGTTCAGAGAAAAATGATTATCAACTTTCAAAAGCTGAAAATAGTAGCTCTGCAGAGAGACAAGAAAACAACAGTAAATCTGATGCCCTAATAAAAAAACACTGTGCAGTGGGAACCCAGACAATTTCTGAAGAAATCCAAACCAGTATTAGCAAAAATAAAGAAGATATTTGCATATACACCTCTGCAATGAACAAAACACCTAGTCTGAACATCAATAATGAACACATACTGCCTACAATAAAACAGGAAAATACTGGACCACTTAATTGTTTTGAAAACCAAGATGCTGATAAGTATAAATGCAGCAGCCAGAAGGAAGAGCTGCAAAGTGACAAAGGAACCCCACTGCCAAGCAAAGAATTTCATTCTGACAAAAAAGAACATCAGACAGTTTCAGAAGAATTGCTGGAGAAAACTGGTCACACACATGCAGACAACATGACAAAGTCATCTGGAAAGAAGGAGAGAGTTTTCAAAACTGAGTTATTTTCAAGAGATAAAACCAAACCAGCTTTGACCATGAAATCCAAAAAGCACATTCACAAATTTATGAAATCAGAAACTGTAGAAATTAAGCACTCTGAAGTCAATCAAAGGCAAAATATTAAAACTTGTGAAGAGAACTCAGCTGAAGGACAGAACTGTAGTAAAGAAAAGGAGATGCTTGGGCAAGATGTAGGAATTAATGTCAAAGGGAAAGACAAACTACCAGCAGAAATAAAACATAAAAAGCTGAATAGTTACCGAGCTGATGCTGTAAGGTTCTCAAATTTTGGCGCTGTAGACTTTAAGTCAAAAAACACAAAATACTCTACGCATAAATCTGTGAAAGTTCATCCTTCACAGGAGCAGCCATACAAACGGAAGATGAAGGAAAACCTGATGGGGAAGAAAGAACTTAAGAAAGCAAAGGTGGAAGATGAAAGACTGAAACAATCCGAAGGAAAGAATTTTAAGCAAATTACACATAATTGCATGATAAATTCTGACATAGCTAAAAGACTGAATGGAGAAAATGTCTGGAAACCAAAGAGTTCCTTAGCAGATCACTCTGTGCTTAAACTACAGAGAAAAAGGGCTCTATCTTCTCCCATGTCTAAAAACTACTTTTCTAACAAAGAAAGACGTCTCGATGGTCAAAACAAAGACAAGTGCTCTGAGAAAATGTTTCCTGATAAAAACCTGCTATACATAAATAGAAGAAATAACAGACTGAAGTTGCATCTTCAAAAGGAACCAAAAAAACACTACCTGAACAGGGTTGCGTTTAAACGTACGGCACAGGAGCGCATATACCTGACAAAATTAGAGACGTCACCTGTCAGACCCGTCTGGCATCGAAAGACCAAAGTGTCAAAAAACAGTGATTCGAAAAAAGATACGTCTGCTTCAGCAGTCGAGAAACCATGCAAGCAGGAAGTACTTGAGTTTAAGCTGTGTCCAGACATACTGTTCAGAAATCCAACCACTGGTGAAGACAGCTTAGCTGTGAAGAATTCCCTGGAAAGAGATAAAGTCGTTGTCGCAGGTATGACGCTATCTTGATTATTAATTTGTAAGTAAGAAGTATGTACTCCTTTTTCAGTTCATGTTGTCTGAAACTGCAGACAGTGGAAACATGAGACTCTAGAAGCTGAAGGTTGAGATATCATAGCTAGTTCTCTGACAGACCATAGCCGTGTGTTAAGCTGAAAAAGAACAGCTTGGCTTGTTTGTAGAAAGTAGATTCTTTTGGCATAGTTACCAAAGGTGATCTGATTTGTGTTCAGTGTTCACCTGGATATACGTAAGTCTGGCTGGGCAGACAGTGGAGGGAGGGATCTTTTATGCCACTGAGGAAGAGAGAGAGCTTAGGTCTGACATATCCTGCACAAAGTCCCCATAACCTTTGCCATCGTTGCTTTAAGCTGCCCTTTTCCCTCCTCTTCTTTCCTGTCCCAAATCTTTCAGCATCTTACATGGTGCATTGTGAAGCATATTTATGTCAAATTCTGTATCTGATTTTTAAATAAAACCAAATCTTAAGTTGCACATAGCAGCCCTTGCAGTCATTTTCACACCCAAAGGGAATTTCCTTTTGCATGTGCTAGTATATATGTTAAAACTTGATGCTGAATAGAGACCAAAACTTGTGATATAGGAAGGCCACAAATTTTTTTTTAAAATTTTCTTTTTAGGTGTCAAGAGTAAAAAAGAAGATTGGTTAAAATGTGAACCACTGAAGCGAAAGAAACTGGAAGAGATCTCTACAGGTGAAATGACTTCTGAGTATCCAGTTTGAAATATAAGCTAAATAGTCTTTGCTTGGTATTAAGTGTTCATTTGCAGTAGCAAACCCTAATAAAGGATTCCAACTTATTCTTTACTAGTTCTGCTGATTAAATGGATACTGTAGAGTAGACATATGACTTTTGAAAGATCTGTGGAGCTTTTTACTGCTGTACGAATATACTGTTGGAGATAGTTGAAATTTTCCTGCATACCTGTGTGCTGTTGACTTGGGTGTAGCACTGGTAACAACATTCAAGTACAGTTTTAAATTATAGGTAAAGACCAAACTAGCTCTTTCACACTTTAAAATGTAGGAAGTGATGTAGCAAAATCCAGTGTGAGCCTTTAAAAACAGACAGTGATTTTTTTTTTAAATCTGGCTTTCACAGTACGTTGCTGCTGTCCACACATACACCTGTGCTCACAAGTTCCAGGACCTGTGTCCCAGTAGTCTGGTCAAGATTACTTGTATGACACATAAAGGAAACGTGGGGCCACTACTACATCTTCCTTGTTTCATTTGTTTGGCACATTGCTTTTCGGATGGTCTTCTATACTGTTTAGGAGTCAACTGTTACAATAGCAGCATCTTTCATCTCAGGATCTTGCTTGTTCCATCCTTCGTTTGCAAGCCTCTTGGGTGAGGTTGCTCCCAACTGTCTTTGCTTCTTTGCTTTAAGTATCTTTCTAGCTATAGTCTTGTTTTTCTACTCCTCTGAAAGGAGACAAAATGGTACATTCAGCATGCTGTAGCCATGTTGCCATCCGTTTCTTAACTTGTCAGCAGAGGACTTGCATGCTCATATCTGTGTTGTGGTGTTGATGCAAGCAACATATTCTGCAACATCTGCATCTTTTAATGCTGTTGCCTGTGTCCTTGGCTATTGGTCCCTGCCATCCTTTTAGCCCTTCCTCTTGCTTCTTCTCTTAGTTTCAAAAATGCACGTTTTCCATCACACCTTTCTTAATATTCTTCAAAAATCTCGGTTGTGAAGACACCCAAATGGCCATTTTGTGCTTAAAGATGCATTGGAGATTGATTTAAATCTGAGGCACCTGCTGCTTTAGGAAGGAAGTTTGTGGCATCCTTAGGGCCCTAAGTACCACATGCAGAAGGAGTCCTCTGACGGTCAGACTCTTGCTTTAACCTGCTTGTCTGTCTTGCAGCTGAGGACAGTATTCCACTTGATACAGCTATACAGATCCTGGATGGAGATGGAGAGACTCTTCACATTCCAAGCAAGGACTCAAAAGAGATGTTTCAGACCTACAGGAAAATGTATCTGGAAAAAAAGATGCAAAAGCCTTGATAGCACTCCTGTATCAGCGGTCTTACTCAGTATCACTGAGAAAAAAATGCACCACTAAGATGCTTTTTTTCAGTTTACTTCATATTTCTGAATAATTGTAAAAAAACCACAGTTTTTTTGGTAGGTGTTGGGAATTTCCCCCCTATTTTCCTCATATTTGTGAATAATTGACATCTTTTGTATTTATTGCACAAATATACTTTGGTGCTGCAGATGCTGATGTTAAATGTACTGTTTCTTTAGGCATGTCTGAATTTTTTTTTTTTTTTAAGATAGGGGAGTTTTTTGAATCTTGACCAAAAAAAAGATCAAACTCATTTAAATTGCCACAGCCTCTTTTCTGATTCTCAAAAACTTTACTTGTGGTATTTTCCACTACTGGCAGTGGAAGAATATTTCTTCCACTGGAAAGGGATTGCAGTGGGTTTCCAAGCATTACACTTCTATTTTCCACTTATGCTAGTCTGATTGTTTTGCTTCTATAAAGGCTTTTGTTTTTGTAGAAACCTTTTTTTTTTTTTTTAACTGGGAATAGAACTTTAAAGCCCTCAAATCAAGCATACAGATCAGGGGTATTTATGAAGTATCTATGCTGCTACCCAGTTTTGTTACATTTGTTTTTGTGGAACTTGTACAAATTGAATTGAGTTCTTAGTTTTAACTCAGTGCTATAAACAGTGCTGTAAAGTGTTAGTTGAGTGAAGACTTTTCTTGTTTTTCTTTCTTTCTCTAGCTTTCTTTACACTTGAAAGAACAGTGCTATTGTTGAAGTGCAGGGAGTTTGAATTCACTCTTGTCTGGACCATGTTGCTCAATTTAAACAGACTGTAATTAATTTCTTTTATTATAAAGTGTTAGATAATGTTTGATTTCACATTCACTGTGACAGAAGAGTTATATTTGTCGCTGGGTATCTTTTGTTTAAGTGCCTTTTCATTATTATTCAAAATTTTGAATCAAATAATATTTTTTCAGAAACTTGGTACTTGATTCTATCTTGTTAAACCTTTATGCTCAAAAAAACCCTGTAGATATTTCATTGAATGACTTTTATACTTGAAATAAACTTTGGAGGACTATGCCTTGTATTTTTTTTTCTTAGTTCAAAAGTATCAAGCTGTGTTTATTGCAGTTAAATAGGCATTGAAAATAGTCCTTTAGATCAAAAGCAGGTTTGAAATAAATGCTGGATCTTCCGTGTTCAAGGGAAGTAGCTGCACGTGAGAACTGGACTTAAACCCAAGCTTTTTCTAATGAAATCTTAACAGCACGTTAAGGAAGCATCAGAAATGTGTTCTGTCTTCTTCAGCATGTTTTTTTTCATTCCTGCTCTGACTTGGAATTGGGAATTGGCTGGCAAGCCTTCAGTACTACTCCATTGGTGACTAGATATGTGTGCAGGCATCTCTAATTATCCAGTGGAGCATAATATCCCAATATCCTAACTCTCTCTGTATGCTCAATTAAAAATAGGCTTTTTGGGGAGACAGAAGTCCTCACCTTCCATCAAATGTATGTTTATTCTCTCAAACTGGGAAACTATTTGGGAAGATTTTAATTCCATCTGGCACGGCTGTCCTAGTAACTTAGACTTTTGTTTGTTTGTTTTTCTGGCTGGATGCCAAACTATTAGTCTGTGGAGATTGTTGCCTCTGAAGGATTTTGTAATAGTGTTGGCAACTCTGAGAAGATTTTATTTTGCATTTTCATGGGAGTTTAGTTACCTGTATTATACTGCCTGCACTGGGGAAGATTCATTGCAGCCTTAAGTGTACCCAGTGAAAACAACACACGGTTCCTGTCAAGAATTTAGTCTGGGTTTTGTTCTGCACAATGATACATGAAGCTGACTTAAATGCTTGGGTGAATTCTTTTCAATAGGAAATTATTGAATCCAGTGACCCATGATGTTTATATTCTAAATATTTGGAGAAGTTTGCTTCTGACCTTGTGCATCCAGTAAGTGAGAATGTCAGTTTTGAGTCCCAGTGGATACAGCTACATCTTCTTCCTCTCATATACCAAGGAGTGAATCTTGGCTCTGTGACGATGTTTACATGGTGACTTGTGCCTACTGTTTAGGTATGGCTAGGATCTTTGGGATAGAGTGGCCATGTACTTTCTGCTTGGTTCTTATGTTGGTTGGTTATTGTACAGTTCAGTAGCTGTCTTGAAAGCCTTTACTTTGCGCTTAGATCTGGCCTGTAGCCTGTGCTACACTTACCGTGTGATTGCTGCATGCATCTGGCACTGAAGACTGCCAGATGCTCTTAATCAGTTGCCATTTCTCCTGCTCCTTATAATGCTGACTGAAGCCATGATACTGCAGCAAGCCCTTGGCCTTGGATAGGCAAGATGCTCTGTGGAAACTAGGGCTGTGTTGCTTGAACTGACAGATGTGAGCATGAGGTCATTCCCTAGCACTGAAGGTGCCCATCACAGATGTGATGTGTGCCCATTGTCGGGATGTTGCCTGTATTTAAACACTTGCAGTATGAACGTCTCTGGTAAGGTTACTTTGTCCAAACCATGGATCCTGTCATGGCTCTGAGAGCACTAATAGATCTTAATGGTCCTATATGTTCTCCACTCACACCCCCTGCTCATGGGCCTAGGTTTGGGGCCTTGGCTGGTGAGGACCCTGCCTTGCTGGTTGTGGTATCTCCCTCAGCTTCTGGCCCCTGCCTTTAGGAGCTGCTGGTTCCTGCTGAGCCCTGGCAGACACAGAACTGTAGGATGTGGTGTGCAACATCCTCTCCTGTTGGTGTCTGTCTTCTCCTTCCCATTTCGTTCTAGGAAAATTTCTGTGTAGGTAGAAAGAGCTACCACTTCTATCATTCTTGTCTTTGTGTCCCAAGAGAGTCACGGATGAGGTTCTGGATAAGTGTGAAAAAAACATATATGTAATTTGCTATCCATTTTCAAAGACAAGAAGATGATCCACATTGCTACAGGAGACTGGTCAGCCAGCCTGACCTCTTTCTTTGGGAAGATTAGAGAACAATCCTTGAAGTCATGACTACCAAAGTGTAGTAAAGAAAAAATTGAAATGGTCAGATTGGATTTACAAAGGGTAAATCATACCTGCCCAACCTGATGGCCTTATGATGAGATGACACATTCTGTGGACAAGTGGACTGTACAAACTGTTGTTTAACAAGACATTTGACATGGTTTCTCATAGTATTCTTGTAGCCAAATTGAGGAGAGAGTTTGGATAAGTGACCCATGCAGTATGTGGAAAATTAGCTGACCAGCTGGGCTTGGAGCAATACTGTCTGTGGTCAGTGTCCAGCTAGCAACTACTGCATTCTTAAGCAATTGATACTGGGGCTGTCATTACCATCTTCATTAATTAATTGGAGAATGGGATGTAATGAACTTTTGCAGGTTTGCATGGAGAAATACAGGTCCTCAGGAAACTCAAGAGTAACTTAGTGTGGGAGTTGAGGAAAGGCATGCAGTGTGTCTCCCAAGAACATTTGCTTCCTCTTACTCACTTCCAACAGGTAAAACTAGGGATACTCAGAAGAGCTGGTTTCTAATGGTGTGATGAAGCCATGGTCCTGAAAGATGTCCTGTCCAGGAGATGCCTGGTTTTGGCTTGAGGCAGCAATGCCTTTGTAAAAATGACTCACATATGCTCCAGAGCCCCTGCCCCAACATCTAGTGATATGATGTTCAAGAAGGTCTGTAGGGTGGAAGTTTCTGTAACAGTGCCATTTACTTCACATAATTTTCATGATCTGTTGTAAATCATACCTGCTGTCTTGCCATGTGTCCAGTCATGCAGTGATCTGTAAAACATGAATAGAACGGGGCATCAAGGAAAGAAAAACCAAACCAGCCATGCAGGGAAACATGTATTATAAGCTGCTGGGCTTGGAAACGTTACCACCACATTTGATATGAACAGTGCTTTCCTTCCCAGGTGTTGGAAGTAATCCTTGAGTGATTTTCTTGGTGGCAGACCTAGGTTGTTATCTACAGTTCAGCCTTTATTTTAGATATCTGATCCTTTAAGCTAAGTCTTCCTTTAAACTTGGCTGTAGTGGCTACACTTACCTCTCCCTATCTCAGTCCTTGTCTTTCTGCCTTCCTAGACCTTGCCTTCATGAACTCACTTCTTCACCTCCTGAGGCTTCTTGTTTAATTTGCTAGGTTGCAACTACCATCTTCTCTTTTTAAATCTTTTTCTGATCTTCCTGGTCTCTGACTTGTCTTTTACTGTGTGCAAGCCTCCAGCCTGTTCTCATCCTGGCAAAGCTCAGTCTTTTCCTGACCTCTTAGCTCCAGTGCTACCAGCTCAAACATACAAAGCCTACCTCAGTCTGCATTTAAGCCAGGCAACTTTTTGTTTTTACTTTGTTTGCTGTCTGTTCATCAGTATTAAGACTCCAAGGGGAAAATGGTTCCCTGCTTCCAGCTTTTGTGCTCATTACTGTAACACCTTGACAAGAAAAGCAAAGGAAAATATTTACTTCCTCCTTGCATGCATGGAGCATGCCCATGGCAGTGGGAGCTTTGGAGCACTTAGTTCTGAGATTCAGCAAGTCCTTTGGGCACATGCAAACATTATCAACATGGAATAATTAGTTCAGTGGCAGTTATCCTCAAGATATGTCAGGAGCTGTTATGTAGTTGGAATCTGTCAAGCTCCATAACAAATGTCCTTTAAACGTAATTTGGGTTCAATGGCTTCAATGGTTTCAATAATACCATATTCAGCAGGTTGGTGTTATTCTAAACTGCTCTGTGCAGTTCCAGTCTCCAGTGTATTACCATCATAGTGATTTTGCCAATATTGGAATCTCTTTGATAAATTGCTGTGACTCGTGAATTGGCCACTATCCATTCAGACAGCTGCTCAAAAGAAATTACCTGTAGTAGAGAAAGTGTTAGGGCTGCAAGAAGCAGCATTATGACTACAAGGAGTACCTGCAAGGAACAAAAGCCTGGAGACCATCTGCTCTGTTAAATAAGCAATCTGGATACATTCCATAATTGTCACATGTTAACATGAAACCTCTTATTGTGGACCTGCTGGCTTGACAGACCCGCATAGCAGAGGAGCAAATACTGCCCACATTTCACATGTGGGCATCTCCAGCAACTACAATATAAATGAGCAGCTCGACAGGAGAGTGAACAAGAAAAGCTTTTCTTAGAGAAACCACATGTTGCTCCTCAGCATTTCTGCTCTACACCTCGTGCAACTTACTATGGCTGAAACCTGTTCTGATGTACAAGTACATCCAAAGCAAATTTCTCCTTGGTAAGACCGTAAGCAGCTGCAGACAAGACTTAAACATGCATGAGTCCCTAAACCTTAAATTTTAAAATATTGTTATGACAAAAAGATACTCTTTATAGAAAGAGTATGGGAAAGAGAGCTCAAATAAAGGACAAAATTATGACATGCTTAGTATTTGGAGGCAACTATGTATCTAAATAAGGTAAGTTCTAAAGGTTTAGTGGCTTCGTAAACTTTGCTGGTTTTGTAGTATTAATGTTGAAAGACATCTTTATAGTCTGCTATAACAATATATATTCTGGGTCAGACATATTTGAAAAAGCTGCATCCTAATACAATGAGCGATATAAAAGAGATGCTTAGTAATGACTGCATCCTGAGGATATTTGTACTGGATCTATTTGTGAACCCTAGTCCCAGAATGCTTTAGACTCATATTCATTTAGCACTGAAATGATAGGTTTTCCATACACAGTGTAAAGAAAGGCTCTCAGGGAAAAAAAAGTGGAGTAAGATGAGAAGTCCCACTGCTGTCTGGCAGGGAGGCACTCTGTGCTGGGTTAGTGCAAGCAGCTTTCAGCTTTTCTGTACTTCTGGGACATTTTGTGGCAAAGGAGATAAGAAACTGCAGAGTTGCTCTGCAGTGTTGTGATGAGAACCTCGCTTACTCCGTTGGTCTGTGTGCTGGGAACAGGAGAAGGGTCAAATGCATAGTCAGTGAGGACTAGACATGTTGCTATAGCTGCAAGTGCTGTTTCCTGCATATGGCTGGTCAGAGGTCTTCTGGGATTTCAGAAGTCTCTTTTTGTAGCCCTGTTTGCTTTGTC